AACTACCATATGATCCATGAATCCCACTTCTGAGTATATTATATATATACATATATATATATATATATATATATATATATATATATAAAGATAATGAAAACAGGATCTCAAAGAGATAAAACTGCACTCCCATGTTCACTGCAGCATTATTCACAATAGCAAAGGTATAAAAACAACCTAAGTGTCTGCCAGCAGATGAATGAATACAGAAGATGTGATGCACACACACACACACACACACACACACACACACACAGAGGAATATTATTCAGCCTTGAGAAAGAAGGAAATTCTGCCATCTGAGACAACATAGATGAACCTGGTGGACATTATGCTAAGCGAAACAGCCAGACAGAGAAAGACAAATACTGCACGGTATTATCACTTACATATGGAATCTTTAAAAAAAGTCAAACTCATAAAAACAGAGAATAGAAGAGAGGTTGCCAGGGGCTGAGTTGTCAGGGAAATACGGAGAGATTGGTAAAAGGGTACAAACTTTCAGCTGTAAGATGAATAAAGTCTGAGGATCTAAGAACCTAATATAAAACATGGTGGCTATAGTTGATAACACTGTATTGCATAATTGAAATTTGCTAAACAGTAGAACTTAATAAATGTTCTCACCAAAAAAATAAAATTGCTGAATTACTTTTTACTTTAATTTTCCATTCTAAACCCAAGTAGTGCTACTCTGAGGACAAATTCTTACTACATGAAATCCTCAATCAAAATGCATTCATGTGAAAGGTCAGAGAAAATATTGATAATAGGCATAAAAATGATAAATTTTTCATTAGTTTCAGAAGAATAATATATAAATGGCATATTCTAGTTTTATTATGTAAATAACATTTAACTTGCATAACACAACATTTTATAGTCAGATACATTTTCATTAAAGAGTAAAAACCATTGGAGATTTACCACTGTGGAGATTAAGAGTAGAGACAATATGAACATGTAAGGTGTCTCTGTACAGTAGACATTACAATAGAATCTAACATATTTGAATCACTCATCCCTGAGATGAATTGTCTTCTAGTAAAGATTTTTGAATTCTCACTTTTCATTATTGTTTCAGACTCTTATCTTGGCTTTAGTTTCTCGCCATCAATGCCTCCAGTCAAAAATGGCTTTATGTACTCAGGGGTATGGCTGGGTGGGGAAATCAGATATGTGAGGGTTTGCTGACAATACTAATTTCATTTCATTAAGAAAAACTGGTTTATGTCAGCAAACTTCCATAAAGGAAATCAAACAGCATCTCCATGAAATCACTAAAAGTGTATTTTGAAAACCAAAATTTTAAAATCATTACTATTTTTCATGTACTGTTTAAAAAATGAATCCTTACTTAAATTTCCATCAACCAACCATTCTTTCAAAATATTTAATGCTTTGTCCTGTTTTTAAGGGCTGTAAAATGAAGTCTTGATTTCTCATCACTGAAACCCACTAAGTTAAACAGGATGACTGGACACCTGTTTCTGCCTGAATACTGAAGCACTGCTACATTTTTAGTATATGTCATCTAAATACAGGTTAAATAATTTAATAAGAAAAGATGCAGGTGTCCGGCCAGCTTTTAGAAATCAGCTTCATCGTTCATAACCAGTTATAACACCTACATGTAATACTTACTGTACTTCAAATAACAGAAAAGGAATTCATGCCTACTAATCATGCTACAATTCTTACCTCCTCTGTATCAGTACTGTTTAGTTCTTCTGCTTTAATTTTATTATAAGTATCCAGTATATCAGTACAGCTCTGGTCCCTAAGAAATATGATAAGTCAAAACACATTTCAATAAATTAAAAAAATCAGAAGTCAGTCCCTATGGAAGATAAAATTGCTTCTTACCCAATAAATCGAAGTAAGACATCAGTTACAATTTTGGCTGCTTTAACTATAGGACTGTCTGGCTCATTGAAAGTCCTGGCATTATGTTCAATGTAGCGTACCTCCCACATTAATGCTGATATTCTCCTATGAAATAAAAAATACCCTCTGTTACTCTTGGTTGACACATTTAGTCTATTCTAGGAATACACAACATGAAACAACTAAGCACTTAATCATGATATGTCAAAAGTGTTTCAACATAATTGACTCATATATATGTGACTGATGTGCACTAATAAAGGTATAGTTACAGTATCTGAAGCATAGGCAAGAATTTAGAATTACTGGACTGCATATTAAAATTTGGAAAAGAACTGATCCAGGACATTATGAGTAATGATTTGACCAAATACAAACAAAAACAAACTGTTTTGATAAAGTCAAAAGAAAGTTTAGTTTTCAGAAGAGATGAGAAGAGCACAAAAAAGAAACCAGGTTATAGAAAAGGACAAAATTTTATCTAGTTACTTTTAAAATATGTATTATAAAATTAAATTATAGGTGATGTTATAAAATACATCCAATTGATTATATTTATAACCAGTTTACGGAATAACTGTGGTTAGGATACAGTGGACTGTGGGGTAAGAGAGGTACCAAGAAGCCGGCTGAGTGGCACGATGGTTAAGAGCTGGCTTGGGATACCAGAGGGCCCCGGTTCGGATCCCACATATGAAGGCCAGTGACACTGCCCTCCACAGCTAAGATGCTGAACAACAGCTCAACCTGGAGCTGGGCTGCCGTAAGTCGCCGG